TAATCTCTCTCGACAACCAATACAACAATTATAACATTCGTCACGACCTCTACAGCGATTCAGTCCAGTAAAGTAACATGCGGCGAAGTTATTCGTAACATTGTTATGAATTTGACTCGCAATCTTAACGGAATCAAAACAAAAACATTTAATTTTACGTTACATAAACACCCAACAATACAAAATCTGATTTGAGTACGAGATTTAAAATAGACAAGTAATAAATAACATCTGAATCCTACCAAGGCACATAAATTATCAAGATTAAATTTGAAAACTTTTATATTTTTTATAACGAGCGCTGTATCTAACTTCCGCAAGATTCTTAGGAACGCCATTGTCACGATCCACCGTACCTTTTGTTTGTTTCTCATTTATAAATTCAAAGAGCAGGATACATACGTAGTGGGTACATTCGCCCGGGTTGTGTTCTCTTTAGACTAACATATTCTGGTGTACTTTATGCGGTACCGGTACCGCTAGGTGAACAGTGTATTTACAAAACATTATTCGTTCGGAGCGCAACAACGCAAAACATTCTCATACCACGTTCGAGTAGACCCTATAATACAGTTCAGCGGTGCAAATGTTCGCCGCGAGTTCGTATCTACACATGATGTAACAATTTAACAAAGAAACTATATCGTACGCGAGACCAAGGTACAAATAGTCCGCCCCATTCGAATTCACGACGAGTCAACGTATTTGTAATTCAACACGGAGTCCCCGTGCGGCTACGTATTGTTTCATCTACGACCGCTTAAGGGGAAGCTCTTTGTTCTTCGAAACATTTATAAGTCGCGAATAATTTATTAGTATCGCATGGCGCTAACAAAATTAGTAGACCGCGATATCATACGATTCACGTATACCCTTAGCTCTTGTACAGGTATTTTGATGTTAACATTTTCGTCTGCATGTGCATGCGCTTTTCAGTTCACGGCTCATATGTATGCAACGCTCGCCTCAGACTAGTTAAAGTGAATGCACGTTATTTGCATTCCAACAATCGCGAAACAAAGACGAATAATGAGAATAAAACTGGAAGTGGCACCGATCGCCGTTTAACTTTAAATTGAAGTCGCAACCGTAGTCTAGACGCGAACGCAATTCTGCATCAAATGTACTCAATTTGTTACTTTTTTATTTTCTTTATCTGTTGACTACACGTTATCCCTTGTTGGATAATCCAATAAAGCGAATTAGAAAATGGCAACTTTAGACAAATAAATTCTAGAACTACTTAATACCGTAAGTATATTTACGATATTAAATAAATAAATCGCTTAGTTTAAAATGTAGTTCTTTGGCCTTAGGCAATCAGAGTATGTCGTACGTAAACCAATTTAGGCAGGAGTGTAATTCCAAGCAGTATGGGACAGTAAACCGCTGTTGAGATGACGTACGTGGGCTCTGGACGAGGAGATGCTCTTCGTTAGGGCAGCGGGGCAGCGGTGTAGAGGGGGAGCGGGTCTGAGCGATGGCTTTATGGGACAATTTGCATTTACACGAGCCGGAGCACAGATTACGCCCGCACTTATCCGCCTGCCGAAATGACTCGCACACCTCCCCGCGGCGAACGCGACCGAACAAGCCTTTGTTTATATTTCCGACGAATTTTTCACCCGCCATTTATTTTGACGGGCCATTTCTAAAACATGATGGCTCTTAAAACGGAAACACTGTGGTGTTTTATTTTATATTCGTTTGAGAATTTTATCTGACCGATTGCTTAATAACGTAGTGGTTTGGACTTCGACATTCAAGACAACTGGACTAATGCTGCCGAATTGTTTAAAACTAAACATTTTAAAAATGTATTTAGCAATGAAATATTATATATGAATTCTTTTAAGAAACATCAGATACGTTCAATCTGAAAAAAAAATGTAAAATTTCGAACAAAATAAAACACCTCATACACTCAAAAATAAAGGATGAATAAAGAAGTACACTGGAGAGGTACGTATAACTAACGTGAATGGGCCATTTATAAATCCCTGCTGACCCACTTTTAGATAACCACCTTTGAATCGCTCTGACAAAAGCATGTCGATCGAGGAACATAATGTCTGACCGGCCGTCTGAGCCTCAATTTAGAGCCCGCATGAGCCTATCGAAATCAGAACATCGAACAATGAAAAATGTGATATGACTGAATGGTGAATTTAAAAAAAAAAACTTCCAAGTATTAAAATTAAAATTCTTTTAAAACTTGTGACTTTTGTAGCCTCTCTACCTTTAATTTTTTAGTAAAACATTTTAGAAATTCCTGTAAAATTTTTCATATCCCAGAGAACAATTTGTACTAATTATCGTTTACTCCTTATGTTTACAGCATAAATTATATAAATAATATTATTTAGTTAAAGGATGTCTAATCGAGTTCATTTACTTTATGATAATGTTTGTAAAATTAAATGCCATATCCCAATTTTGTAACTCCACGTGTAAATTCATTGTCGAGTCCGGGATCGGCTATTTGCCGCGCTGTCGCCACTGAATATAGGTGCACGACACGATACCCTTAATCAGGGCAACTGATACGTGATACAGCCAAACTTTAATTTGTATTATAATTAAATGAACACCCTTTATGTAAACAACTACATTATTTTGTACTATAAATATAAAGTCGAATAAGAAAATAAAAACACTCTGTACACAATTTGAATTGAATGTTTCTTTTCATGCAACATTTCTCGAAGTATGCGTGCGCAGTCTATTATAATAATAGGATGATTTAACGATATGTTATTACCACTATTATAACCTTATATGAATTAATCAAAAGCGTGTTTTAACAATGTTATTTTACATCTTAGACATCAGCCGCATCACATTAAATTAAAAACGACTATAATTAAAAATAAACAGCCATAAAGAGAAGAAGGTTTATTTTTAAAAACATAACGACTTAAAAAAAAACTCGAGCACGTTGCTCTCAACAATGTTAAACACACATCGTTCAAATATGTCCCTTTAAATTATACGTAGGGGAGATGCTGTGAGGAATGATCGGTCATATATCGTGTTTAAAACAAGTTGACAATACGTTTCTGTTTCTGTAAGAACAATCAAACGAGATCCATCTTAAATGGGGGCTATTTATTTCCTTAAAACCTTTAATAAATTACGTTTAACATTCATCGATCACAATAATAGTTTTGTTAACAATAAGATAAGTTCTTGTTCACGGTACTTGGATTTATTTGAATTCAACGAAATATTGCATTGGGAGAACATCAGTTTACGGGCGTACGCCTTGAGTTTTATTGTATACGAGCATACGGCAATTTGAAGAGGTGATTTACAATGTGAGAGACCGTGAAATACGACATAACAAAGAATCTTAAATGTACGATACTAAACATCTTCTATAGACTTCTCTAATATTTACAACTAAGCTTTAGTTAAGTAATAAAATTCTCAAGACCACTCAGGTACCTTGGCCATTTAAGCAAATCCTTAGCGGAAAAATTAACCTTAAAGCTTACATAAACCAAATTCACCATAGAAGCATAAGTATAAGAATAAAAGCGACCTTTGTATAAAATTTGTCATTTTTACTAATTTCACAAATACAAATAAAATAATAACAGTCCATTTTAATTACAAAAGTTACACCCATTTCAAGTCTGTTTTGGGAGTGACATTGAGACGCCACATTTTTATCTCCGGGGGCGTAATGTGTCACAGTAAATACCAAAGCGCTCAATGTAAACGCATAACAAATTCGACGAAGTGGATTTACAGTAAGCGAACTAAACATGGCTGCATAAAACAAATAACAAAACATTTTGAACTTTGTCACAGTTCTGTTGAAGAGCTCAAGAATGCGAAATGTTTTACATGTGTGTTAAATCCAATAAGTAAATTAGAAATAACCAAGGATTCTAAGAATAACTTGTACATTCGTAACACTGCAAAAACTTATTTTTACGTGAATTCAGTAAAAATATTCGTTACAACTAAACATAATGTCATTTTAGTAAATACTGCAGCGTTGGCAAGACTTTGTATGTCAACTAAATATTCACGAATAAAATAGATTATTTGTATTTATCCAGAGGTTTGTTTTTCACTTAGTAACATGCGCACGAGTGTTAGACGGTTACAACTCTACAAGAAATGCTGGTAAAGGCTAAACAACCGGCAACTGTCCACCGTAATTACGTCGAAGGTATTGACGTCCAGGGAATGTGGTCGTGCAATCTTCCAAGATTGGACACGCTTACCATCTCAGTGCACCTTGCACCGTATCCTTTACAAATCAGACACATATAATCAGAGTCACCTAGCAATTTCTAGCATAAATTGACTACGTTCTATTCCAGACTTCACATTACATAATATTACACTAATTATAAGCAGATGTTTTTTTGTTATTGTTTGTTAAAATGTGACTGACAATTTTGCAAATGATTAAAAAAACGTAAAAAAAAAAACAAACATTTATAAAGTAAAAAACGTGGCAAAAATAAAATAAGAATAGAAAGCGTGCAACCAAATAGTTGGTAGTTGTTGTGCGGAACAGTTTTTCAATCTGGCAACAAATGGTTGTACATTCACAGAGGTTACGGCGCACAGAACATTGTACAAATGACTGGAGCAGGTGTTGCTTTATTGAAAAAACAGATACAAATTACCCCTTCTTCTACCTCCTTGGATAGAAGCTCATTTGGAGTAAGGGTAAGAAAACACGAGTAGCGTTGTACTTAGTATTTAATTATTAAGTATGTAGGAGTCCTTACTAACCTAATCGAACTATTTCGATTTAAGTAGACATTTAAAAATGTACAAAGGTCTTGGTTAAAATATTCTTTTATCTAGCTACTAGATTTCCTAACCTAAAACGAGATCGTATATTTCTAGAGAACGGCCAGTGTGTATCGTACAAATATTGGCATCGGCTTTGAACCAATTTCGGTAGACGAGTCCTGTGAGCCGGGTGTAGTACCCACAGGGCGGGCGTTATATGCAAACTTAATTTCACTCACCTAAGATGTGGCCGGTTATTCGATGTTATAACATTCCGTTACACAAAGTCATAAGCGTGATACAGCTTTCATATCCTGGAACAAATTGAAGCGAATTAGTATAAATATTTCTATGAGACATACTAATAATTATCTTCAACAATGTGGCATTAATAAAATTTATAAATACGTAAAAGTACTGTCCTATATATGTAATGGACTTAACCCATCTTTATTACCTCTTTGGATAACCGTTACCACCATTATTCAGTGCCGATAAAGAGAGAATCTACCCTTAAATGCCTATAAAAGTAGACCTTCATAAACAAGCAATATCTCTTTTACACATCATAATAAAATAATTTTCTTTATTATTTCACAAAAAAAAAAAACGCTTGGTTGTTACTCCGTTAGCAAATTCTCGTAATGTCAAATATTTCAAAATGAAAACTGAATGCACCAGTTGGACGGAAGGAAATAAAATATTTTATATTAAAATACAATTGCGATTTCAGTGAGGTAAAGTCAAACGGCGCCCGCATCGCTCGGATGTTGCGCGATAAAACTTCGCCGGCGGATCGCGTCGAATTGTGAAACAAAGCGTTGAGGGAAGTCGGCATTGAGGCGAGGCGAGGGCTGCACAGGTGTGCCGGCCGATTCGCGCCTCCTCTAATCAACCGGAAATGTTTGCTCCGACGACCCGACGGTTCTAACACATACTCCTAACAACACAGACCGGTCCGCGCGCCGACACCCGTCCATTCAACCGAATGTCACCCGCGACGGAATTTGAAACGACATCGCAATCGGTCAATACCAACTGGACTGCGACAGACCTGTCTATTTATCCGCTTGACTCCCCACACAAAAGGCTTTCCATCTCGACTTTAGCTCTTTTATAATGTCGAAGCTCGCCTCCTCTCATGATAAGACGAAAAAGAAACAACGAGCCGCGATAAAACAAGAATGAATAAGTACTCCCGCATTCAATTTAACAATCTCCAAAGTTACATCACGGGTTCGAGTTAATGTAGTCGGTCAAACAAAGCGTTGGGTCTTTAAGCTTATCTAGGAGAGAGCGAGTCGTGTTGCGTGCGGCGGGCGTCGGCGTTGGCGGCGGCGGGCGAGGTGCAAAACACGCGCCGATGTGCAGATAGCGCTCAGCATTCTTTTGTTTCGCGGAGGGATGAGCGCCGCTCGTTAGTGCTCGGATCTGTGTAAACCTTTTGACACTTTGCTAAAGGGTTCATTTCGTCTGATTAATGTTGTAATTCCTTCAGTTGCGCGAACAAAAAAGACGCTCGGAGCATTTATACTGTGACGGCTCGTGAGCGGAAGAAAAATGAGGAGAATTTATCGTAGCTGTATATCGTAACCGAGCGGACGACGGGTCGCTGTTAGTATAAACGAAACGTAGTTAAAGTTGAGAATAAACGTGGACTAGAATAATTCTTAGATTCTACATTTCTATTTTTCCACCCGTTCGAACGTAAGCAACGTTTTAGTGAGATAACATATAATACTTATCACTCTTTGTAGCTGATGAAGATAGGTAACACGAAAGATCGCGTGAAGCGTTGCCTCGGGAGGATCCTAAATGCAACACCCGACAGGCAACAACACGCTTGCTCATTAATAGATAATAACATTTCAACTACAGTTATATTTCGTTTGTATAAAATAATTTACTCTATCTAAAAATAAATCAACTGTATTTATTTTACTGCATTAACAACGTAATTATTAAATATACTATTTGATATTAACTTTTAGTCATTCAAAAATAAACAATATTTTCATGTCATTATCTTTTAAATAAAATTATTCGTCAAGCATATACTCGACAGTGTATTTCAAGTGGGTATACTTGTTAAAATATTCATTTAATATTATTAAAAATTACTGCAACACTTGCCACAAAGGCCGTCACCTAACAATCTAGCTCATTACTGAGAATACCTTTGCGTAATTGGAAAAAAAAAATCTTAATTCCGGGTATGACTCCGTAAATGCGTTAACGAGGTAACTCTACGGATGAATATAACAAAGTTATAAGCAACTAGTTTAGGTAAAGCGCTTTCAAGCGGTGCCGTCTCCGGCTTCTTAATTTTCTTTGCAAGCTCTTTTAAATTTTCCATCGCTTTTAAGATTTGCTACTTCAAAACGCTGCGCCCGTAACGAATTATGTAGTTGCTATGCTGTGTTATTTGTAGCGAGCATTCTATCATTTGAACGGAATTAAATTAATGACATACATTTTTAATGCGAAGTTAGTTAAAAGATTATGACGTATGACCTCGTGCCCTGTAACCTAGTTTAATATAGAAATATAGACAAATGCCTATGTCATCTATTAAAAAAACAGAGCTTATTCATTTACTACATTCCAAATGGAGATTATATTCTATATAAAGCGGCTTTACTTAAACATCAGATTATAACAAAATATGATAGTAATAATGTTTAAAATCCTTATAAAATTTAACTACAATAGGCTATTGAAATGATTATAGCTTCGATCTGTATGATGTTAATATTTGTATGTCTTGTGGTTTACTTTTATTGCGCTATATTTTCAACGATTTGTCCTTACTGAAGTTATGGCGTGAAACGTGGGCCGGCAACTAAATGTAGGCGGTTTTATTTACAAAGGGAAATATCCGTTGCACTTGTAAAGAAACTGGTTTCAGTGTATCGATCGGATCGTTTCAAAGATATATAAATAGTTTAGTCGTCGTGTTCTTTAGTGAATCGGCAGGTTAATATGTAAATGAGATAAGCTTGTTCGTATCTATGAATTCATTTCATGTATCTCAGTCATTCGCAACGGATTCGATATCATTATCTTTTATGCTTTATGACTTAGCTTGGGACAATTTATCATTATTGATATGTGAGATAAAAGCGACATTTCCTTAATCATTATGTCTTGTTGCAAGATAATGATGTAATTTTCTTGTTAAGTTGTTCAATTAAGTATCTAATAGTTGCTACACGTTCAGACATCACGGGTCCGACTGCATATTGCTATCAGTAATGTTTCAAACTATCTACATAATTCATTGCTGTGATAAAACAGATTTAGTCTCTGTCGACGAACTCGTTGCGTGTCGATTTAATTACATGTCCATTCGATTTATCTAACTTTACTTCGAACTGTAATAAATTTACAAATATTCATTAGCATAGGAAATTGTTAAAAAGTAATTTACCAGTCACCTTCTTATTTGGAAAGCATTCTAATAAGCCAAGATGATATAAAACTGCATTTGAAATTCCAACTATAAAATCTCAATGTAGATGTTTATGATTGTTTTTAATAAGATTACATTTAAGATGCATTGTTTAAGTAATAAAAAAACTATATATAAGTGTCTTATGGTTGCTTGAATTTGTGATTGATATTGACTGAAACGATATTTAAACATTTACACCAAATTCCCTTAAAATTTCGATTGCCTTTCATATTGTAACCGGTGCTTACGAAGCGAAGTGTTTTAAATTTCCATCATTCGGCCGTTAATTGATTATTAGAGAGATAAATTGTACAGAACTTTATTCAATTATTTTTAATATAATTAGCTATCAACCTTGTTTTCCACTTAACACTGTCAATGTGCTCCGAAGGCATTCTAGTTTCGTTATAAAAAGACGAGATGTACTTACAGAATAAGTCAACCTGTCAAAACATCAGAATTAATTCTAAGAAAATGCTCGTACAAGCCGTCTCAGAGCACTCGACGTCTGCCATGTTAATAACAACTTGTGAAACTTCAACGCAACATAATTATATACCTGAGTTATTAATAAAAAGAATTGCAGACCTCTTATACAATTAATACAATAACTTTCTACAGCGTTTCTTTAATTATTAGAATTAGTTGTTATTATTTTTAAAGTTAATAAATGCTGAGATTAATACTACACATATTTATGTAGTAAATCAATGTAAAATATAAATTGACACTGAAAGAAGTGCATAGAAAACGTTTATTACGATTTCGACTATGCATATTGTCAAGTGCCATTTTCACAAACTTAAGGAAAATTGTAAATAACTGTAGGTACAAACGCTTATCTCTTTACGCACAATATGCACAGTAGAGTAATAACGATGTAATGTGATGTAGACAAGTGATATGGCGCGGCGCGACGCGGCCGGCCCACCCCGCGCCGACACGCGAGGGGTGACGTCCTGTAATGGCGAGTAGACAAGTCCTACCATATTCTTGGAAATACATTTCGAAAGTGACTGTAAAATTAGCTTTTAATATTCACCGTTGTAAAACAATGTCAGTCTAGCTTTTAGATAACTGTCAATATTAAAAAAAATCTGATTTAATGCGCTTAAATTCATTGATGAGAGATTTTAAACAATAAAAATTTTGAGTTTTTCTTAGTTACGATTGCTGTTATTACACCATAAATATATTACGTTCAATAATTAAATCAAGTCGGCAATATCACGAGATACTTTTCTTATTAGGTTTTCAATATTCTAGTTGGGAGTTTTATCCTTGAATTTATGTGTTCGATGTTACACGGTCGTATATTATATTAATAATAATTATAACAGCCGGGCGAAGGCATGCGATGTGAACTGCGGGTGAAAAAATGCAAAATACACATTTAATTTCAACCCCTGTATGGGGTGGGGGAACCCTAATTAATTAGATAGCCACCTGCCCGGTAACACCCTGCTCTGGTGGTAGCCTGTTAAAAATTTGTTATAATTTGCGAACAGACAGCCATAGGGGCGTATTGTGATCAATTCAAACTAACTAAACGGGTTATAAATGTTTCATTTTTAATTTTAAATTATTGTATAAGCTTAAGCAATTACAGTCAATTACATAAATAACTCAATTACAATATAAGAGGGCTAACTAAATGATAACACTCGTTTAAAGCATTTTTTTTTTATTTAATTAAATCAATTGTGATTCTAGTCTTTTACTTTTAACTTGCGAAGATATCAAATTTTCTATTTCACTGTATTAAGTTAGCAAATAAAACTTAGATGTAGCAAGTACACAATAAAGCTTATTTGCGTAGCATCCACTTCGGTGCTTGAGGTTTATTTTGAAGAAAAATTA